ACATCTTTAGATGGAGCAGATGGAAAATTTTACACAAATAAAGTAGGAGAAAGTGTGCAATTAGGTTTTTATCTGCAGTTACATGCCGCATCCTCTGTTTTAGTTTAGAACATCACCTTAGTGGGTGGTCATGATCTCCCCTTATGTCCAGGCCCTACCTTCTTGACACCACATTTGATGTTGGCTAAATTCCCAAGTCCCAAACTTTTGTTTTTGTTGAGTGTGAATGAAATAGGGAATGCAGCAATCAGCAGAGAAAAAGGCATACCATCAGAGAGACTGTAACAGTCCAGTACATTATGGTTGCATTCCTTGCTAGTTAAGTCACTATGGTAAAATCCTTGGCAGGATTTTTTTCAATAGTTTATTCATGATGTTCATTATTATGAGTTGTAAAGAGTATGAGAATTTCATTTTTAAAATGTCTTATGGAATGTATCACTTTCTTAGATCTTGTAGACATGCTGTGGAAACCATAACATAAAATATGAGTTACTTACAATAACTAATTTTAATCCCATCTGCTAAGTATGACAACATTAGCATTTCCACTTAATTAAAAACACCCTTAAAGCAGCGATGTTTTAATCACTCCATTTTATTTACTCTCCTCCGGTGTCACTTATAATTGTAACTTTTTATTTTTTAATAATGAGGGATTTTTTTTCTCCTTGCATCACACAAAAAAAGTGCTGTCGATAATTAGCAGTCTTCTGTTATTAGTAGACTCAGGTGTCACAACTGTGTCTCATCCTCATTACAGTAAAAAATTTCACCTATCAGATTCATTATTGCTAGATAATGCGACTGAGAGCCTTTGCAGGCCCTCCAGAAAAGTAATTCAGCCAAGCAAAATTATCAGCTAATTATATTTAGAATCAGAAGCCCAACAACTATTTGCAGATAAATTGTATGAATTGAAGTGAATAGATCTGAATATTAAGATTCATAGATTTAGCTGATGATTTGTTAATTGGAATAAAAAGGTCATTTACTAGTCATTTTAACAATAGATCAATTGGAACCCTATTTATTATTTAACTGGTAGTGCATAAGGATCGAAATGATGAATAATTGTATTATCAGGAGTGTTTTTCAGAATAACAAGATATGAGGAACTTATGAGGGTGCTATGTGATTTATTTTTAAATGTTCGTGTATTTTAAAATGTAATCCCAAGTTAAATATTAACACTAGTATTTTAACAAGTCCAAAACTAGCCGAAACAGACTGTTCTGGTTTAATGAATTAGAACTTCAACTATGAATTAGATGATTACTTGCAAATAAAAACTAAAATCTAGGTGGTTGCTGTTGTTGTTTTTAATTTTCCCTTTCACATCAAAGAATGCTGTTCCTATCTTATTGTATGGCATTATACTTGATAGAGACATTTTGGACATAGTGTGGCATATACTCATACAGCAACTCAAAATGTAAGTCAGCCTGTAATGATTTTCTTTTAGGGTATAGCATAATTCAAATCCATTATTAAAGAGAAGATAATATGCACTTTCTGAAATGCCTGTGAGTTCACTCTTAATTCATGTAATTATAAGAGAATGTTCATATGTATTTGCTTTTCCGTTGGCACAGCATTTTAAAACGGAGTGACTTCAGACACCATGCACATTTTCTTTTGGTTCGTGAAGTACTTCACAGACTGATATGCTCAAAAGTTTTCTTAATGATTTGTACTGTGGCACAGTGTAGTTTATAGCTGTGCTTACAAGACTGCACATGTAGAAAAAGGTTAGTTTGTCTTCTAAAAGGAATAGTTGGTCACTAAAACCTTTGCATTTCTATTGTGTTTTGTAAAAACCTAGCATTTTTCCTAAAATTGGACCTCAAAGTAAATACTCCCTTTATCCTAATTTCAGCTTAACATAATAAAAATAGGGAGAACATCACCCACTTAAAAACAGTTTAAATTGTGTGTACTCTGTCACTGTAAATAAACAAGGTAAATATTGACATGACTTCAGATCATTCTTGGACTGAAAAAAATCTGCAGTTCAAAATAAATTCTGCCTTTGGTCAACATTTTGGATGCAATTCAAAGTTTCTCATAAAATAAACATATTTTAAAGAGTGTTTTGAATTTCACTGCATAATTTCTAGCCAACAGAAATGACAGTGGTGTCTTCAAGGTTTATGATATGTCAGATCAATAGCCATTACACAAACTCAGCAAGACTGCAAGGGGCAGTACCTTCCTCTGCTTAGCCCCCCACTGCAGCAGGGAGAGAACCTCCTGGAGATGCCCCCTGGGAAACGCACAATGCGAAACTTTGTGGTTGTTTAATAATAAAAGTATTCTTCCCTGATAAAATAGAAAGTAAGCTGAATTTTTAGTCAGAAAAGCAAAATGTTCATTACAATGATTTGAACAAGACTTTCCGCAAAGGGAGAGTTTTACATCTGCATAATAACAAATTGTTTCAAAGCCTGAGCTTGAAATGAAAATGCCCCATCACAACAGATTGTAAATTTTTTTCCTATGCTTTTAAAAGTGCCTCGATCATTTCTACGGCTTCCCTGCTAAAGTATTTGCTGTTTTATTTAAACGTTTTTTGAAAAATGAACATTCTGAGGCTTTGCAGCATTATTAAGAAAAGCTGTCCATACTTTCCCATGTTGTTGAATGTGTTTATCTGCTGATTATAAAATGTGTTAAACAGTATTTTAGAAACAACAAAAATGCAGCGCTGCGCTTTGATTAATTCAGTGAACAAAGCATATGCTGCCGGTTCTGTCCCATGAAAGTCGGGTATGATCAATAAAATCTTGCAAAGAGCAACTCTGGCATTTAGGAGTATCCTGCCGACCATGATTTTGTCCCCTCAGCTCTGGGCTCATCCTGCTGTCTTAGACAAACAGATCCCTTCTGACTGTGATGCTGTGCCTGCTGTACCCTTGTCCTCTTTCTGACGTTTCTGCAGGTTGGAAGCTGTGTACTGTGGCTGTTACCCACTTTGTCCCAAAGACTTGGTCTATCCTGAAATATTTCCAGGTAGCTGCTTTCATGTGCTTTTTCTTTGTTGTGATTTAATACAGGACTCATGCTAAACTAAAAGTTTGAAAATAAACTTAAGTAGAAGCAATTGTTTATTTGGCAAGTCAACATGTTAGTGTTAAGGAAAAATTTATGTGTTTTAATACATTAGAGTAAGCTTATATTTACCATCTGTTCTTTTAAGATAACAAAAAAAGCAAGTTTTCAAATAGCATTCTTCATTGTTAGCATACACATCTCATAATGACGGATTTTTATAAGCAGGTCAGTACTGCTACAATTGCTAACAGATTTTTTTTTTAATGATACACACAGAGAAAATTCAAGGATTGAAAGTCATACCAAATTCTTCAAACAATTGAGTAGTTAATAATATGCAACTGTTGTACCGAGTACATACAGCTATAGCACTGGTTCTTTGAAAAATTCTCATCACTAAATATATCACATATGCATTGTGCTACATTAGAATAATGTATTTTAATCACCCAGAGGAGATGTCTAAACAGCACAACTACACAGTCTTATTTAGCATTAAACATCCTTGTGAGCTGAGGTAACCTTATAAAATCATGCTTAAATAATGTAAAACATGAGGCGGCACAGAGCAATATGCATTTTTAATTAGTAAAGTGACTAATATCGAGTGTGTGCTTTGAGGTTTTTGTTTCATTAAAAATGTATCTGTTTTTCCTGCAGCTGAGTATCTGTATTCCACACCTGAACAGCTTTCAAAAAGGCTCCAGAGTTTCTGCAAGAGACCAGATATTATAAGAAAACATCTTTATAAGGTAGCTATTGAGAAGAAATTTACGTGATAGAAATACCACATTTAAGTACAAAGAAAATTAAAAAAAAAACATCTAATTAACATACTAATGTTTAAAGGAAACATGCTAGGGAGGGGTATTGGTTGTTACACTAACAAGGATTAATTAAACTGGATGCCAGTTGTATTAACCTAGGTCTTAGGAAATACGTGCACTTCATGCACAGTACATGCTTTCTTTTTAATTTATTGTTTTCTAAGATGACTGTCCTGTACATTTAGCCCCAAGAGGCTTATAAAAATGAACCTGGATTAATGTAACTCATTAGTTTAAAAGGAAGTAAAGGAAAGATTCCACAATTATACTAATAAGGATAAGCCTTTCTTCCCATCTTAATGAAATCTTAAGTCCTCAAAAATTTAGGTGAGTGACACAGTGAAGTTAGCTGTTGATTTTTTAGCTACTATGAAGATACCTTTCAAAAGTTGTATTCCCCTCATCCTGTTCAAAATGGGTCATAAAATATTCTCAATTTGTTTAGAGTCAGGTCCATGGGTCTCAGTTCAAAATGTCAAGACAAATGGTTTATGTAAAGAGTACCATCAGCACTGACCTTCTCTTCTCTTACCTGAATCAAGCATCTTACATTGTTGAAATAGCACAAAAAGCCCCTACTGAAAGTACTATTGAAGTGGGAATCTGCTTTCTGGGCTTCCAAGGTGGATGTAGGCCATGAATAATTTACCTTCTTATGTTCTTTGGCTACAGTATCTTTATTTTATATAAGGTTAGCATAGTTTACAATATAGCACTTTTATAACACAGAACCTTTTCATTTTCTATGTTAATATATAACCTTCAGCATGAAATACATTCTCTGCCTTTTCCTTTTTTCAGGCCTAAATACATATTTACATGGTGATACTTGAAAACATGACTTTATTTCTCCAGGAAACAGTTAAACTTCAACAAAAAGGGAGAGAACCAAAAATGCAATTTAACACCCAATTTCAAGCTCATTATCTTTCATTGTCTATTAACTTGGCAATGGTTCAGAAGGTAGCTCATAATAGTTTAAAATGCTGACTGAACAGTTCCAGGCCTCAGTGTCACTCCCGGAGTCGATACTGTCGTATTGTGCATGTGAAGCCTTGCAGAGTGTGGGCCTCCAAGGCTCACTCCGCTGTTTACTCACTCCCAAGTTCAGTAGTAGTCTTGTTCACATACAGCACACACCAGTTAGTCCCCCATGCGATAGGTAGGCAGAACATGCAGATTAGGAAATTAAGGAAATAGAACAAGTTTTGGTACAAGTGGATTCTTGTTCTGTTTGTAATATGAGCCTACTTTAGTGTTTTCACACTTAAAATATCAACTTTTGTTATGTCTGGGAAATTTTTGGATAAAGTGTTTGCAAATATGTTATACCATCAAAATTTGTTTGTTTTAATGTTGGTTCAGGTCAAGTCCTATTAGGCCTATTCCTCTACATCTGAGTCTTAAACTGTTTCACAAGGGCCTGCAACAGTTGTCTGTAGTTAGAAAAAGAAACAAATTTCTAGCTGACCTTTTTCAATAGAATTACTACCCTTCTGGGATATAGTGTTTATTTTACAAATAAATGGAAAAACTCTAAAAGAATGTTAGCTTGTTGTATGATGTTAATATACAAAGTTCTTCATGTACTTAAAAAAATGGTTCATAGTTAAACTGCTACATTTTAACTCTCACAGATAGTTTTAGTTTTTACATGATAAAAACTTGCAACTCAATGTTTTATAAATTAGTAATCTATGAGAATTTACATGTATATTTTAAGTACTTTTGCAATGGATTTTTTATTTTAAATTTATTATATGCCTTCATATATGTTCTCATTGATAGATGTTAGTGATATTGTATCTAAAAATTATTCTCAAAATTTAAAGAAATTTATCTTAATTTATAAGTAATCAAGAGCTTTAAGACAAATGGCCCATCATGAGGCACTGGATTAAAAACCCTAGGAATGGGCCGGGCGGTGGTGGCGCACGCCTTTAACCCCAGCACTCGGGAGGCAGAGGCAGGCGGATCTCTGCGAGTTCGAGGCCAGCCTGGGCTACAGAGTGAGTTCCAGGAAAGGCGCAAAGCTACACAGAGAAACCCTGTCTCGAAAAACCTAAAAAAAAAAAAAAAAAAAAAAAAAACCCTAGGAATGGACTCAAGTCTGGTTTATTATAGTAAAACGGATCAAACTAGTAAGAATGACTGTGTCCAAAAGCTACCATAAACTACAGTCATGTCTCCACTTCTGTCCTGTTCATGTCCCAGTCTCAGGTGGCACTTGCTCTCACTGGATAATGGAGACTTACTTCCCTCCAGGACAGCTTTACGTACTTATGAAATGGAAAAGGACCCTTTGTGTGTTTGTGAAAGGAATGCAAGGACTTTTTTGTTTTCTTCTTCTTTTTAATCTCTTCTTTTTTCTTCTTCCTTATTTATTTTTTTTATTTCTTCCATTGGACAGTTATGTTTTGCTTCTATAAAGCATATGCTCTTAAAGTCTAAAAGGACCAAATATCACTGGATTCCTTTATTTGTTCCTTTTACATTTTACACCTTTTCTTGTTGTTTTAGAGGTTTATGTTTGAAATCTTTCCAGCTTCATACCGTATAGACTTTATTCTAGGGTAGATTTTTTCATATGGATTCACACTTAGAAATTTAATGACTGGGATAAGGCTATTAATACTTGGCTTTCTTCTTATATGAAACATTGCATATTCAATATGACTAAGAGATTGTGGGCTGTAACTTGCTGCAGGATTTGAAGCAAACACAGAACTAATTCTGTCTTGGTGTCCTTTTGTTTCTTAAAGTGAATTTCTGCACTAGAACTCCATGACCTGTTCACCTGAATCATTTAAGGCCTGTGAGATTTAAATATTCTCTCTCTCTCTCTCTCTCTCTCTCTCTCTCTCTCTCTCTCTCTCTCTCTCTCTTTCTGTGTGTGTGTGCACATGTGTGCGTGCACATGTGTCTCATGCACACACACATACACACTTAAAGAACATTGTAAAAACTAATACATGTGAAAAGTAAATGTTTCTTAATAATCTTAAAAATCTAAAGCCGGGCGGTGGTGGCGCACGCCTTTAATCCCAGCACTCGGGAGGCAGAGGCCGGCGGATCTCTGTGAGTTCGAGGCCAGCCTGGGCTACCAAGTGAGTTCCAGGAAAGGCGCAAAGCTACACAGAGAAACCCTGTCTCGAAAAACCAAAAAAAAAAAAAAAAAAAAAAAAAAATCTAAAGCCTTTTATTGCTTTAAAAAATTTAAAAACCACTTCTTAAAAAATTTACATGTATGAATTACACACAAATTTTGACTATAACTTTCTTCTAACATTAAGCTATGTCTTGCTCCAGGTAGGAAATTGCACTAACTATGTACTTCCATAGGGAAAAAAAAGTTTAATTTCGTTCACAGTAAGAGCTCTTCTAGACCACTCAGCCTACTATAAACAAATTTCTAAGAGAACTCATAAGATAGACTGAGGTCCATTGACTTTTTACACTAACAGTAGTATCCTTCCTACAAACCAGCTTGGGCCTAAAGTTGTGCTTTTTGCCTTGATTTTAGTCTATAACTCACTGAAATACTCTAAAAGTTGTGTGAGACTAGCACTTTGTGCTTTATAATAACTTTTTATCTTTTTATTTTAAAATGCTTTGAAAAAAAAGAGATGGTCCCTTATTATCAGTATTAAAAATAGAGCAAGAATATAGCTAGTGTGTAGGGTAGACACTACCCAGGCTAACAGCGGAGGCCTCATTTCCATCTGGTACCTCATTTGCTTTGATTTACAAACTGAGCAATGGGCTGTGAATGTGTGTGGGTGTGTGAATATCTGTATGTGTCTGTGTGTGTATCTGTGTATGTTTATGAATGTGTGTCTGTGTGTATGTGTGTCTATCTGTGTGTATCTTTGTGTGTGTGTGTGTCTTTGCATGTGCTTGCGCATGGGGGAAAAGGAAGACGGTGTCCCTTTGCTTTTTTGAGAGTGACCTGTAGTTTCTTAAGGTTTTCAGAAGTTAACTGTTGCTTTTTACTCTGCTCTTTTTAAACTGTTCAACAGTTGAGACCCATAAAATCTATTATTTCCAAACAATGATTTTGCTTACAAAGCAGACCCGATGCCCAGAAAAGCCATTTGCAGTTGTCTTAATGACGTCAAGCTACATCCTTCCGAACCACAGCCAGGCTGTTTTTAAGTTCCCTTTAAGAGACAGTCACTCTGAAGTCTAGATAGGGATAAGGTGTATCTCACCAGCATTAACACTACTCTAAAATCTTACTTTTTCCTGAGAAAATGAAAAGATTTATAGTGATATCATAAGGGCTTATAAAATTTCTAAGCAACACCTGCAAAATGTAATGAGAATTCCCAGTCTTAAGGTCTTTCTCTTCTTCTTCCATCTCCCATATATCTCCCTCCTCTCCTCCACTTTTCTTCCCTTACTATGATTTTATGTGGTTTGGCTCTGCTTTGGCCAGTTCAGCTTACTTGAGATTTTGTTATTCTCCATAGGTAAGTTCTTGGCCTATGGGTTACCCATCTGTAGATCTAGAGGTTTTTTCCTTTTTCTTTTTTTTAATTTTCCCCAGCCATAATAGCATTTTTCCCCGAGGAAGTGCTATAATGAAATAATGAATAAAACCCATTTGGAAATGTAAAGCACCTTATAAATTCCATGTACTAGTAAAGGCATTTATCTTGTGTCCTTGCTCCTTAAGGGTAAAATTCACATTGGTAAAGCTGTGTATTGAGAGTATTGTGTACCTTCTGTGTATAAAAGTTCAAAGACAGGTGGTAAACTTCTAAGAGCAGTCATCCATGGCATACATACACCCAGGAACGTGTGCAGCAGTGCCCATGTGCACACCGCTCCCTCTCACAGTTGAGATGCAGGCAGAAGCCAGGCTTTCCTGGGGTGACGGAACTCGGTGGCTTTGAGCTTGTCGCTGGAGAGATGAGGCAAGTTTGCGTATGAGTTTTCGGGCGTCTCTGTTTCTCCGCTGCTCTCTAATCTCTCCTCCCCCTTGTTGCAGGGTGAAGTGGCTCCGTTTTCTTGGGCAGCCCTACATGGTAAATTCAGGTCTCTGCTCACAACAGAACCAAGGGAAGATTTGTGACAGATGGGGCTAAGTCACAAACTTGCAGCCTAAGGCAGAATCTGAAGAACTTTCCAGAGTGTGCCCATATTTACCTGATCAGAGAGAAAAGAAAATCTGCAGAGGAAGCCGAGCCTGGCTGCTTGTCATAGCTGACACAGAGCCATCTGCCACAAACCTGTGGCGGCTTCAGATCTCCATCCCTGCCACCACCCCAACCCAAATTAAATACAGATTCCTCGAGACGCTATGATGGGTACACATGTCCTCGGCATCACATGTAGGAGACTGTTCAAAAAAATATGTGGCCTGTTGTATAACCGCACTCATGTATCCCATATGTGGTGCCACATTGAATTTCCGGTTGAATCCGTTTTTATCCTTTGTACTGGATGACATGGTGCCTGAATTCTTTCTTTCTGCCGACACGATGGCAGCCAAACTGCAGCTTCAAACACTCACACTTGGCTGAGTTTCTACCTGGGTTGCCAGGTTATCATCCGAGCCTTCTTGTGTCCTCAAAGGGCCACGGGGCCTAGAAAGAGGATCAGAATGCTCCTGAACTAATTGGGCAGCCATCTCAAAGCTGCTGTAGGCAAAGGGCTGCTTTAGCACTTTTCTTTCAGCAAATTAATGACTCTCTGGCACAGGAGTTTTTAAGTGAAGGTATTAATAAGGGGTCTGGCAGGTATTCCCATGATTCACAGAGTTTCATTTGCATTTAATTAATCTTAAAGAAACTTGCAAGATAAACAGCTGTAATTCGGACAAACATGGCAGATACAGTGAGTGAAGTCCTCTCATCCATAAAATGAACACAAGATACTTGTTTTAAATTTTTTTTTTCTATGAGTAAAAATAGAGAAATCAAAATGCTTCTAACAAAACCATAATTTGGTACAAATATTCTTCAAAATATTTGCATCCAACTACACATATACTCTTTCTGAGATTAGTCACTTGTAATTCTTGTAATCATGCTGCTCTGTTTGTTGGTGTAAAGATATTTTAAATGGCTGGATTGTAAAATAAATTTTTAATAAACTGCCCGCTGTAATTTTAATTAGCATATTCATTTGTGTTTAAGTGTGTGCACCTATCTGCGTTTCTTACTGAATGTTTCCTGTGTCAGAGAAGACAGAATACAATTGTCTCTTGTAAGGATGAACAAGGATCTGTGTTGCAAATGTTTGTTACATATTATGACATTTCCAAGACTTTCTTTGCATTCTGGAAAGCAGGAGGTAAACATTTGTAGTCATTAAGGTAAAGTCTGTTGATAAAGCATCTTCTGTTTACTAACAGGTAAATTGTAACTTCCTTGGCTATTGAAAGGAAAAACTTCTATGTACTGCAGAGTGAGGAAAAGCCAGAGAAGTGACTAGACAAGGGCCAACCCTGGGTCCCTGTTCTTTAGAAGAGCTGGGTGGTCTAACAAGCATCCAAGATGGAGCAGATGGTTGCACTGAAGTCCTACAGAGTCCATGTGATAGGTATCAAAATAGAAATCAGAAAATCAACCAGGGTTAGGGAGCCATGCACAGTCCTCAGGGTAAAGGCAGTCATGTGGATCAGTGAACCAGGAAGGAAGCCCCTGAGAGCTGGGGGTTGCAAAACCGGAAATGGGAGCGGCAGAAATAACAAGCTGTCTGTGAGTGGACTCGTTCCCACCTACTGTGAGAACCAAAGCACATGTGGCCACTATGCCACCAGCTTCTTGTCCTTGCCTTCAAGGAAGCCATCATAAAATAAAGGGCTCAGAAGCTCTCCAAAGTCCTGACTTAGAGTCTAAGACTTTGGAATACGGAATCTAGTAGGGATGCCCCATTTGAGAGCAAAGTGGGTATCGTTGTAAATAAGAAGCTCATAGACTCATCTCTTGGGCAAGATTTTACTTTATACCCTCTAATGAAATGATCCAGTCAGAAAGATGCTTTTCACAGGTGGCCAAGAAGGAATGCTTGGTTTCTCTGGTTTTCTGTGGTGCCTTTTTACTGGCTAATAGGAAGAAATGAAATCTCTTCAGAGGGTATGTCCCAAATATTTAAATACTTTTCTGCTTTTTTTTTTCCAAATAAGGTCTCCTGTTTCCCCAGTTTATCTCAAACTCACTATACAGCACAGCATGACCTTGAGCCCCTGTCCTCCTGCCTCAGCCTCCAAGGTGTGCACCACTGTGGCTTATGTGATGCCAGGCAATTGTAACCCAGAGCTTTGGCAATTCTAGGCAAACTCTACCAACCAAACTACATCCGTAGCCCCATTTCCCTGATTGGGGGCAACTGTGATAATGATACTGCACGGGATTTTTCCTTGACTCAAAGTCAGATAAACTTTTGCTTTCAGCTGTGCTCATCATTCTCTGCAGGGTAACAATGTACATTATAGTTGCCACTTAGGAAAAACTAGACATTCACATTCAGTATTGGTGGACCTAAGTTATAAAAAGTTTTGTTGATACACAATTCTGAACATTTTTAAAGGCACATCGGTACCTGTGTGTGTGCATGTGCTTCCCACTAACCACAACATGGTGAGTGCAGTGCTGAGGAGTTAGTCAGCACTTGAAGTCAGTGGATAACTGGGAATATAGTCGACTCATTACTTTTTTAGAAGAGAGGCTAAATAATCCCAGTAGTCCCTATTTTTTAGTATGTTGGGTTTTTTTTTTTAAAAAAAAACTTTTGGTCTTTTATAGGTAATTTTAATTTTTGTTCTTTTAATTTAAATAGCTTTAAAATTCTAGGCATTATCAAAACTGATGCAGTGTCTAGGGTGCTTGCCCTCTCTCTACCTACTTACTCTCTGTTTCTCTTAACAGGTAATAGGATATATAGTTCTTAACCTCATCATTATGCCATATTGATCAGGATAGATGAAAAACTGTCAAAACATTCCTGTTTGGCAGGCATCTTTCAAACACAGTTAAGTTTGAATATCCTGCTCTTACTCCCAAGTCTTCAGTCATACCAAACAGAGGGATTGTAGAACACATAATAAAATGGAAACTCTTAGCCATAGAAGGCCACATGGATTAATTTCAACACCTTGAAATGCATCTGGAAGCCAAGACTTCATTTTATGTTGAAAGTGTTAATTATATTTGATATTTTTAAAAGTAAAATCTGTTTTTGAAAAAGCATCTGCTACCCAGAAATATCATGAGCCACAAAAAAGATTTCATATAAGCCTCAAGATACATTTCATGGGTGATGGAATCAGTCTTCAAATGTTTCCCTGATGTCCTTTAATGCTGACATGTTCTGTGCTTCTTACTTTTCTATAGGGTCTTAACAAGCCTTGCCTTAACTGCCTCTCACTCCAGGAGAAAGCTGGAGTGTTCGTCATCAGATGTTATACTTAACAATGAAGAGAGTATATTATAAACATCACTGTAGATGTGCTGCATCTTAAATGAATTGAGATATAGGCCATCTTCCCCTAAAGCATTTATTAAAATGTAACTGAGAAAGTTTTAAAACAAGCAGTTCTACCTGCTGCTCGAAGAAGGTAAACGTGGTTAAAATATTGCACGAGACGACGAGAGTGAGCACCAACTTTACAGCTGTCCTTTCTGAGTTCTGGTGGAAAGGGGACAAGCCTGCAGTAGAGACTCATTGACTCTGTGATAACAGCCTCCTCCTCTGCATGGGTAGGCCATTGGCTCAGAAAGCCTTATTATTACTCTTGCTCTCTGCCTCTGTATGTTTTAAATGTTATTATTGATATTATTGGGTGTGCCTTTTGACCGGAGCTATAGACACTTTGGGAAGCATGTGGTAAGGGGCTGCTGCCCACTAGCTTTAACATTTCTTGACTTTCAAAGTAACAACTGCATCAGGGAATCATTATTTTCCCACAGAAAGTGGCCAAAGCTGCTCAAACTCCTGTCATGCATGAGAAGATGTCCCTCTACTTACCAGGAGCCAAAGACTTCACTTTAACCTAGACACAAATCAGATTATGGACAAAATCAGGCTCTTTGTTTGAACATGCAGATATCCTAGCAGCTCTTCCCCTTGACTTTCAACCCCAGAAGCCAGAGCTTGATGGCTTTAAGGGATAATCTGTAGTGCTTTTGTGACTCCCTATCAGTTACTGTGTTTAAAGACATTCTGTAGAATGTTCGTGACACTCCTACAGGGAAAACATACTTCTGTGACTTTTTTTTTTTGAATGTGAAGTCATTGTGTGAAGTTTTAATGTTCCCAGTATCAGTTCACAACTGAGAAAATTAAACCATACCAGCGTACTTAGGAACTAGAGTGTATTGGAGCTACACAAAGAGAAAGAATTTGGTCTTTGAGGAAGCACCAAGTTCAAGTTTCATTACTCAGTTCGACCCATAATTTGATTTATCTCCCCTCTAGACAAAAGGCAACAGCTTTGTGGCCACACAGATGATGCTAAGAGGCACATGAGAGACCATGAAGTATGGCCAGCACTTTATGTATTTTTATAACTGTTTTTGTCTGGCCTTTAAGGGGGCATTGAATGTGCAAGGTTGTCTGTCACAATCTCTACTGTTCTCTGTGTTCTTACATTTGCTGGATTCATCTATGTGGGTAATTTATTGGTTCTCTTGTCAAGCATTTGTCTCTATAGGCTTTCAGTTTAATTTGCATGTGAGAAACTGAAGACCTAAACACATTATCCTGTTTAGGTCCTGTGGAGGCAGAGTCATATCTGGGCCTCAGGTGTTCCCAAGCTCTTTCTTGAGTTTGTAGTTGATTCCATTGGTCAAGTCCTACAAAGAAGGGGAAGTAGAAAGTGTGTATCTCCATCTATTGGCTTGCTGTGTTCTCCCGTCTCTGGCTGCCAGAAGAAGCATAAAGCACTAAGTTTCTAGTATCTTCCCTAAAGGCATATCACTGCTTCTTCTGGCCATGTATGCATTCTAAGTGGACAAAAGGAAAGCAATGCAAAAGCTTAGATTTCTGGTGCTAGAACCTCCGAATGGCACCTGTAATATTTCTGAACTGACACTCCTCTGTTAGCTTTAAAATCTACAAGGATGAAGTTGCTCATCCCAAGCTGGGAAAGGCAGCCCCACATTCTCTCAGAGGGCCAGGACTGGCAGGGCACACCGATGCCGTGGCACTTGAGTTGTGCTGTGCTAGGCCTGCTTCCTGTCATCCCAGTAGATAACCCAGGAACAACATCCTGGGACGTATTTCCTCGGGAAGAAAAAGAACGGAGGAGTAACTTTAAAAGAAGCTACTTCTGATATGGTATTAGACTCCAATTCATAGGGAAATTTATGCCTGAGATATGAATTTCTGAAAATAGAGGGTTTTTTTTAAAGGGAAACACTGACACATCCTTAATTATAGAGTAATAAATACCAATGGCATATTATCTTCTGATATTTCCTTACACAGATATCAAAGCATGCAGCTGTTTTTGAAAACTGATAATCAAGTACAATGTAAGTCTATTACATCTTGTTCTTACAGCCCACCCCTACCAAGCAGTACTATGGAAGACTGAACAGTGAGAGGCAGAGCCGATGCTAGCAGAAACCTAACTGAACAAATTAGCTTTGAATTGTAACTTAAGAATCACAGTCAAACCAAAATGCCTGTCCTTGCCAGGAAAGGCATTCCAAAGAGAACGCCAAGAAAAAGCTGTTGCTTCAGGATTATGGAGCAGTTCTGAAAAGCCTGAAGAACTTAGTGATCAATCAGGAAAATACGGAGTAGTAACTATACAGCCCGAGGATGTTTAAAACTTACAAAACAGTAATAGTGGAGTGGAGAAGTAGAACAGGGTTTACCAGAAAGTACTAAGCTCTTTGCTCCATTTTTTCTCCTTCAGTCCAGGCAGCAGAGAGAAAGACTCACGGTCAAAGAAAAGTATGTGGATGAATGTGGGGGGCAGAAGAGGAAATGAAGGTTAAACAAGGCCAACATGATTCAGAAGAAAGGGAGGGAGGAAGTGTAAGGAGCCAGCTGCAATTACTAACGTTACATTAAGAAGAGCCGAAACTGAGAGGGGGAGTCCTGGGTATTCTACTAAGTGGATTAATGTCCTCTTCCTTGAGTGTCTGAAGTTGCTGATTTT